CACCAATCAGAATGGCTAAAATTAAGTCAGAAAACAACAAATGTTGGTGAGGATGTGGAGAAAGCGGAACCCTCTTAAACTGCTGGTGGGAATGCAAGCTGGTGCAGCCACTCTGGAAAACAATATGAGGTTCCTCAAAAAGTTAAAAACAGAGCTACCCTAAGACCCAGCAATTGCACTACTAGGTATTTACCCGAAAGATACAAATGTAGTGATCAGAAGGGGCACCTGCACCCTGATGTTTATAGCAGCAATGTCCACAACAGCCAAACTATAGAAAGAGCCCAGATGTCCATCGACAGATGAATGGATAAAGAAGATTGGTGGGCGCCTGGGTGGCTCAGTCGGTTAAGTGTCTGCCTTTGGCTCAGGTCATGATCCTGGAGTCCCGGGATCGAGTCCCGCATCGGGCTCCCTGCTCAGCGGGGAGTCTGCTTCTCCCTCTGACCCTCCTCCCTCTCATGCTCTCTGTCTTTCATTCTCTCTCTCGCAAATAAATAAATAAAATCTTAAAAAAAAAAGAAGATTGGTGTGTGTGTGTGTATGTATATACACACAATATGTATAAACACACACACACACAATGAAATATTACTCAGCCATCAAAAAAAAAAAAAAGAAATCTTACCACTTGCAACAACGTGGATGGAACTAGAGGGTATTATGCTAAGCGAAATAAGTCAATCAGAAAAAGACAAGTATCATATGATTTCATTTATGTGGAATTTAATAAACAAAACAGAGGATCATAGGGGAAGGGAGAGAAAAATAAAATAAGACAAAATCAGAGAAGAAGACAAACCATAAGAGACTCTTAACTATATGAAACAAACTGAGGATTACTAGAGGGGAGGGGGGTTTGGGAGGATGGGGAGTGATGGACATTAAGGAGGGCACTTCATGTAATGAGCACTGGGTGTTATATGCAACTGATGGATCACTGACCTCTACCTCTGAAACTAATAATACACTACATGTTAATTAATTGAACTTAAATAAAATAAAATTTAAGAAATAAAAATAAATGAACAAAAATAATAATAAACAGAACAAAAACAACCCACCTTAGAAAACATGTAAGGCAGGGGCGCCTGGGTGGCTCAGTCATTAAGCGTCTGCCTTCGGCTCAGGTCATGATCCCAGGGTCCTGGGATCGAGCCCCGCATCGGGCTCCCCGCTCTGCGGGAAGCCTGCTTCTCCCTCTCCCACTCCCCCTGCTTGTATTCCCTCTCTCGCTGTGTCTCTGTCAAACAAATAAATAAAATCTTGAAAAAAAAAAAAAGAAAAAAGAAAAAATGTAAGGCAAACAATAATCTTGGGGGGAAAAAAAACCTACCTGCAGCAAATATAATAAACAAGGGTTAAGCATCCTTCCTACTGAAAAGAGCTTGCAAGAAACTCAAGACTCAAAAAGATGTGCAGATAATTCACAAGTGACAAGTGCCCAACAGTTACGATATGTTAAGATATTCAATCTCACTAATAATAAAAAAATGCAGATTAAAAGAACCAAAGGCTATTCTTCAGCCATCCAAGAAGATTCACACAAAACTGCTAGCACCTCCTACCTCCTGTGGCAAACACTGCTATGGAGAGTGCACCGGGCTTACGCCCTAAAAATATCCATTCTTACTATCTGTCCCAGTAATTCCACTTCAGAGAATCTATTTCAGGAAATTCTCAAAATTGCTAAGATATTTATGTAGAAAATGCTAATTGCAGCCCTGTTGAAATGGGAAGGGGTAAGGAATGTAAGTAAGAGCCTGGAAGAGAGAAAACACCTCTCAGGATGTGTGTATGTATTTGCACGTGGAGAAAGCGGAGAAAGGATACATGCGGGTTAGCATTGCTAGTGCTAGAAGGTGGGAATGAGGGGGGGAGTTATTCACTTTGTCTCTATAGGCCTCCTGCATTGATTAACTTGCCCTAATTAACACAGCATATTGCTTTTGGAATTAAAAAACATACTCCAGGGGTGCCTGGGTGGCTCAGTCAGTTAAGCATCCAACTCTTAGTTTCGGCTCAGGTCATGATCTCCAGATGGTGAGATTGAGCCCTTCATCGAGCCCCTCAGTAGGCTCTACACTCAGTGGGGAGTCTGCTTGAGATTCTCTCTCCCTCTGGCTCCCCCTCTCCGCCGCGCTCATGCTCTCTCTCTCTCAAATAAATAATCTTTAAAAAGAAAAAATAAGGGTGGCTGGGTGATAGACATTGGGGGAGTGTGTGTGCTATGGTGAGCATTGTGAATTGTGTAAAACTGTTGAATCACAGACCTGTACCTCTGAAACAAATAATACATTATATGTTAAAAAAAAAAAAAAAAAAAAAAGGCGCCTGGGTGGCTCAGTCAGTTAAGCGACTGCCTTCAGCTCAGGTCATGATCCCAGGGTCCTGGGATCGAGTCCCGTGTTGGGCTCCCTGCTCAGCATGGAGTCTGCTTCTCCCTCTGCCACTCACCCCACTCGTGCTCACTCGCTCTCACTTTCTCTCTCTCTCAAATAAATAAATAAAATCTTTAAAAAAAGAAAAAAGAGAAGACAGCAGGAAGGGAAAAATGAAGGGGGGGAAATCAGATGGGGAGACAAACCATGAGAGACTATGGACTCTGAGAAACAAACTGAGGGTTCTAGAGGGGAGGGGGGTGGGGGGATGGGTTAGCCTGGTGATGGGTATTAAAGAGGGCACGTTCTGCATGGAGCACTGGGTATTATATGCAAATAATGAATCATGGAACACTACATCAAAAACTAATGATGTAATGTATGGTGATTAACATAACATAAAGAAAAAAAAGAAAAAAGAAAAACCTCAAAAAAAAAAAAAAAAGAAAGAAAGAAAGAAAAGAAAAAATAATACTCCAGGAGAAGAAAATACCCACATATAAAAAATGAAACTATGCCAAATGGATCTGATCCTCATCTATCCTATCACACAGACCCTAATAAAAGAAATGAAGAAAAATACAGTTATTAAGTCTCTCAGGCCCCACAACAGCCAACTCTACCTGGCTGACTTCTGTAGCCATGATTGGAGGTGCCATACCCAGTGGCTCACAGGTAGAGGAGCGGACTACCAGAAAATCAAAAGTGATTTTCTTAATCCCCAAATTAAAAGCACAACACTCTTTATCTTTGTCTAGAAGCCAGAGGGCATTAAGAGAAGAGACAGTGGTATCCCTACTTGTAGGTCACTGCCACATCCCAGCCACACCAACACCCCTGAGTTATAATGCTACGACTTGGACCCATCTGAAATATCCCTTTGATGCAAACTGTTTGCACAGGAAGAAAATCAGATAACGAAGATTAGCTAGAACAAAGATTAGCCTGGCCTGTTAGGAAAGTCATGCAGACATATACAACTTTCAGATAATACTCCATAGCACTTAAACCAGCAAAGATAAAAATTTAAAAAGCTGTGGGCAAACAAGCATTTATATATATATATAGCTTTCAAAATCAAAAATCAAAATCTCTGCATCAGGCTCCCTGCTCAGCAGAGAGACTCTGCTGCACCCCCCCCACCCCCCACCGCTTGTGTTCTCTCTCTCTCCATCAAATAAATAAAATCTTAAAAAAAAAAAATCATTTAAGCCTAGATGGTAGAATGCCAAAGGAAGAGACCTTTAGGATTAACATGTCCAACCCTCTCATTTGTCAGATGAAGAAGAAACTGGAACTCATATTGTCAACTGACACACAGACACTACAGAGCTAAGACACTCTGATAACAGGATCTGCTCTTCTAGATGCACTGAACATAATTCACAAAGGGTTTTCACAGCCGTTATTTTCTTTGGCCCTCACCAAATCCAGATGTTTCCACAGATGAGAAAAGGAAGGCTCAAAGGGTTTGGACGATTTGCCTACATCATCTGGCTAGTAGCTCCAAATCCCAAACCCCATACCCCTTTCACCAACCGGCACTGTTGCCCAAACCATTCCTGACAACCCAGGCAGTGGGTTCCCCAGCTTCAAGCGCACAGCCTGTCAAACACTAAGCACTCAAAAATTAGATGAGTGAATACCTCAAACTTGGAGAAAGCTAAGCAAATTGTGAATGATCAGCAGAATATGACAAATCTTTTAAAAAAGAAGATGTTGATAAGCTGAAATCCACATTAGATGAGAATACTGAACCTCACAGAAGAGAGCCACAAATATCCTAGACCTCAGAGACAGGCCTCCATCATTTTGGCCTCAATTACCCAGAGCTGCCTCACCTGATCACCCTACCGCCAATCACTTCCTATCTCTCCTCAGCAGGTCTCAGAAATCCGCAAGGCTCCCTACTGCCCACAACACCAAATCCAAACTTTGTACCCTGGCCTTCAAGGCCCGACCAGCTGACTGATTCCACCGTTTCCTGAATTACTCACTGACCCTGGCCTTTTCTGGACTCTTCCCCTCCACCCCACAGAACCCACAGAACCCCATTTCCTTTATGCTACCAGATCTAGCCTTGGCTCCTCTTGGCTCCAGGTGAATACTGGTCCCTTACCCCACTTCCATCAATCCCAGGTAAAAAGGGCAACGGCTTTTTTTTTTCTTTTTATGAAAGTGGACTTACATGACATTCATTTGAACCTATGTGATAACCAAGTTCACCAGAAACAAGCACAATGAACAGGGAGCCCCATCGGCAGCAGCCTCTAATTTGGGTTTTCCAATACAGAAGCAGGAGTTGCCTTACGCAACCTATCCAGTCCCTTTTCTGGCCTGAGGGGTCTTGAGTTCCTGGGGCTTTTCCTAAAATGGCCCACTGGAGGCAACCAGGTGAGTCTAGGGGCTGACGCCACACCTACCTGTCCTTCCCATCCAGACCCCACCCCAGATCTGTCCCAGGAGTCAGGACTCCAGCTTCATTATCAGGCAAGTCCCAGTTATTAAAGGCTTTCCCATAAAGGTATCAAGAACATCCAAAACGCCTTGTGCTGGGATACTGCAAATTGTCACAATACATATATCTTGGCCATCCCCTAGGTTAGTGTGCAGACTTACCCCATTACAACACCCTGCTGTACGGAGGTCCCAGAGGTGCTGTAAGAAGTCAGCACCTGGTCAGGGGTATGTAGTTGTCGGCAATCTTCCACCAGAATGAACAGCGCTGCAAAGAACAATCTTGTATAAGCATGGATTCCTGGAAGTGGACTTACTGGCTGAGAGAACGCATGCATTTTAAATTCTGATACTTACTAGTTGAAAAACTTCACATGGCAATTCTCATAGTCCACTGGTATTTAGGCTTTACCTGGGGAATGTTTACAATGTGCAATCCTGACACACTCCCAGCCTCCTTTTACATCCCAGCCCTTCCCCTCCCCCTCCAGGAAGTCTGGGAGGGGCTCCTGAAGCTGCTTTGTTATCCAGCTCCCAGGTGGCCCAGCTGTGAGAGGAGGGAGCTAGTGACTTCTGTTTGCCCCGAGCACCTCACCTAGCACAAACCTCGGAAGCCCTGGCGCGGGGGCGGCAGAATTTGCAGGGAGGTCTCTGGGCTGTAGCCCAGGTCCCCAGTGGCTTCCCCCAAATGGCAGAGTCTGGCTCTCATGCACTGGACCACAATGCCTGGCACTGAGTGCTGGGGACAGAGTCAGCTCCAGACTCACCTGGATGCACCCGTTTCCCCTTCCAGACACCCCTCCCCTTCCTGAAGGTCCCTGCCCCACAAATATCTTTGAGCCTAGTAGTGACCAGGACCCAGTAGTTTTACCTTTACCCTAAGACTCCCCAAGCCTCTCTTCTCTAAGACAGAGCACCACTTCCCCAAGAGATCATTTGGGGCCTCCACACTGGGCCTCAGTCTCCGCATCTGTGAAATGGTGGGCGTTGGGCAGTGGCACGGACATTTTGGGTGCTGCTGTGAGGAGGACAACGTGGCCAACTAGGTTCTAAGCGGTTGCAGGGAAGTCTGGCTTCAATCGGGAGCCCAGGTGCACCCTCACGATCATTTAATCAGCATTCTGATTGGCTTAAGGCCTGTTTGGAAAAAACCTCGATTTTTATTTTCAGATTTCTCCACTGCTGAAGCGCAATTAGGACCAAAAGCCTTTTCAAGGCCGCTCAAGGGTCCTAGGTAGCTGGGCCCGGATGAGGCACCAGAGGCCCAGGAAAGGCCTCGGCCGGTTTTCGGCTGTGTGCGGCCGCGCTCTGGGGACACAAAGTCTGGTGGGGAAGCCGAGGGGGGCTGGTCACCGGGTACTTCACATTGTGGCACAGAGCAAAGGGCAGGGACGAGAGTGCGGGCACGGCTGGCGAAGACCGAAGGAAACATTCCTGGAGTTGAGCGCGGTGAGCCTCCAGAGACGGGCTCCGGGCGTTTCCAGTCAGGCGGTCGGCCTCAGCGCGGTGAGGGCTGCGCGCCACTGGCGGGCCCACCTGGGCTGAACGACACTGGTTGGCTGGGTGACAAGAAGCAAGCCTAGAGCCTCTGCGGCTCGGGGCTACACCTGGAGCGGGTATGTAACAGCACCAAGCCCATAACCCAAGGACTGGATGGGATGGTACACACCGAGGGCCCCGCTCCGCGTCGCTGTGTGGTTGGGAACACTCCTCAAGCGCTGCTTTTACCTCTGGCCGCCACTTGTGTTCTAGACCCAGGAGCTGCGTGCTTTGGGGCTGTGTCCGAGGCAGCCTTCTACCCGACTCTAGCGGCCGCTGAGGGCAGAAGAGGCGTCGCATTCAGAACCCGGTCCTCCCCAGCCGGGGTAAATCCCCGGGCTAACTGGGCCTCAGTTTCCTCTTGGTGCAGTGGGAACCACCACACCGCCGGCGGGAGATCTGGTGGAGGGAGCGCTCTCACAAACGTTAGTCTGCATTATTTCTCCCCTCGGTAACGGCCCCCAGTGCGGGCGCGGAGCACACAGTAGGCGCTCCGGAAACGCTCTCCGAGAGGAGGAACGGGCCACTTCCTGCCCCCAAGCGGACTCTCCCGACTCTGGGTTCCCACCGCTCCTCTTCGGAGGCCATGTGGCATTCCTGAGGGTGGGGGTGGGCGCAGGAAGAAGGTGCCCTCCCGGCCCCGCCCCCTCCGGGCGCGGTGGGCGGGACGAAGCCCCTGGCCGCCGTCGGCCCGCCCCGCGGGGGGTGGGCGTAGCTCGCCGCGCTCCGCACAAAGTTTGTTTTCTCCCTCCGGGCGGGTGGGGGAGGGCGAGGAAAGCGCGGGGGGGAGGAGAGGGGATCTGACGTCAGGCCGCGAGGTGCTTTCCAGCCGCGAGCTGTCAGGCCGAGTGTCAGGCCCGGCAGGTACGCGCCGCGCTCCCCCGGCGCCCCCCGCCCCCTGCCGGGACGCCCGGGACCGAGCCAGGGGCCGCGTGGACGGAAAAGCCGCTCGGAAAAGTCAGTGAGAGGCGCAGGAGTGGGACAGAGGCGGGCGGGGGGCGCGCGGACAACTTGGAAAGTTTCTTTTTCTCGGCCGGGCGGGGGAGGGGGCGTCGTCCTGGCGCGTGCGATTGTGGGTGTGTGTGAGCTCTGGTGTTTTGTGAGCCGCGACTGCTGGGGGCGGGCGAGGGCCGGTGGGGGGAATGTCCCACCGCCCCCCCCAGTTGAAAGCTCTTTCGGGGCCCTTCTGGGGGGCCCATCTCCCTACGATCCTAGCCCGTGAGAGGGCCGCCCCTGCTCCGGGCCGGGGTGAGCGCGCGGGGGGCGGGTTTGTTTGGTTTAAAAAAGTGCACGTTGCTAACCGCCAGCAGCCTCACCCCCCCCGCCCCCCCCCGCGGCCGAGCCGAGGAGGGGGCCGCCGAGAGTGACAGCTGCGGGTGGGGGCAGCGGGAAGGGCCCGGGGCTGGGGGGCTGGGGAGCCCGCGCGAGTTCCCCTTTCCTTTGGAACAAAGGAAAGTCTGTCTCGGAGGCATCTGTCACTCCCAGGCGGCCAAGGAAGCGGGGCGCGTGGGGCCGGCGACCCGAAGAAAGTTTGTGCGCGCCGGGACCCTCAGGCAGGCCGAGCGTGAGCCGAGCCTCCCGCGGGGGAAGCGCGCAGTCTCCGGGGTAGGGGGCGGCCAACATGGAGTCTGGGCGCAGGGCTTGGGGGGGGGGCGGTGCGGAGGTGGGAGCCCAGCCCCCTCCCCTCCCCCTCCGGGCCGAGTTCGGAGCACAAAGCCGAGCGCGCAGGCTCGGCCAGCCCCGCGCCCCGAAGAGTCAGCCAGCGCCAAGCGGCGGGGGAAGGGGGTGGGAACCAAACTTTTTCCTGCCCCGGGACAGACACGTGAGTTTTCTTTCTTCCAGAGCCCCCGCCCCACCCGCGTTGCGGGCCGGCGGGGGAGCTGGGGCGCCGAGTCTGGCGCGGGGTAGGGGGCTGAGGGGTGCGGGCGCCCCGAGCGCAGGCCGATTCCCCGCCGCCCCGGGAGCCATGTGCTCCGACTAGGTCTGGGCCGCGGGGGAGGCTGCGCGCTTTGTGTGAACTGCTGGGAATGCACCGTGAGTGCGCGGCCCGGGGGAGTGTCGGGAGGAGCTGGGGGAGTTGTCAGAAAGTTCGTGCGCGACTGGCTGCAGGCCGGCGTCGTGGAGTGTGTAGCAGGGTGCACCGGGTGTCGTGTCGTGAGGGTGCTGCCACAGGCTAGTTGGGGTAAGAATTGATCGATGCTGTGATGACGTTTGGAGTTTCCTCAGTCTGAGAGATCGCGGGTGGGCGGGCCGGTTGGAGTTTGTGGGTAGGCGTATATCCAGGAATTGGGCTGGTTTCGTGGGTACCAGTTGTTCGTGCTAGACGTGGGATCTGTAAGCTGTGTGTGTGCTGTGTTTGTCGGTGAAAACCATGGTGGTTCCAGGAGCTAAGCGGTGGGTTGGTGCCTGCTATCCGAGCACTGTTACAGAGTTGCCTGGTGGTGAGGGCGTGTGTCTGTCAGTCTGTCTGTGTCTGGGTGTGAGTGTGGGGTGTGTATGTGGGAAACCTCCCCCGTTGTAAGCTGGCTGGAGTGCAGGACACCATGGTGGAGAGAGGTGTGTGGAGGCTGAGGGGTCATCTCCATGGGCCACCTCAGGAACCCTGCAGCCTGGGACTTGGCTGGTAGCCAGGGTGGAGTTTATACAGATAACCCTGAGTAAACTTCTCGTAGCCTGCCAGGACTGCATCCCCGAGCCCAGATCCCAACTGCCCTGGCCAGCTAAGCCCCAGAAACCTGACCTCAGAAAGCAGCCTGTTGTTGGTGTTCTCTGAGGAGTGGCACCTCTAACCAAGGCCTGTCTCACCTCCAGGTGGCCTGGCTGGGAGGGTGAGACCCTTCCCTCGAAAGCCTGGCCCAGCCAGCCCAGATATCTGGGCTCAGGCCCAAGTCGAGGAAACAAAACCTGGGAGATGCCAGAGTCTGTTGGCCCAGCCTGCTGGGTAGCTGTTAAAAGGCTGAGGAGGGAGGAGCCTTGAGATTCTGGCATTAGCTTGCCCTGGAACTTTTGGTTTTAAAATGTAAACCTCTTTTGCATGTGTGAACCAGAAGTTTGTCAGGGGGATGAGCAACTGAGTTGGGTTGTTTAGGGAAACCCCTTCCTTCGTTTGACAGGTGAAGAGGGGTCTCAAGCCCAGAAAGGAAAGAGCACACTTGCCAAAGTCACACAGCCAAGATGAGAGAACCAGAGCCCAACCTGCTCATTTATCCGGATTTTTGAGGAATTGATTCATGGACCAGGCCAGGGGCTAGATGACAAAAGAGAATGTCTGAGACAACCAGTAGGGATGACTCAACACCCTCTGCAGGGTAGTGGGTACAGTAAATGTTACATGGATTGCTGTAGGACCATGGTGATTAATAGACTTTCCAGACCTGGGAGGCAAGATGCAATAGAGTTTGGTGGGGCTGGGGAAGGTCAGTTGTTGGTGGTGGCAAACCTTGGTCCAAACCTTGTTTCCATACCCTATCCAGCTTTATCAATAAAGCTGTTTTTTCATAACAGCTTTATTGAGATGTAGCTCACATATCATACAACTTACCCATTTAAAGCAAACAAACGAGTGGTTTTAGTATTTTCACAACTACGTAACCACCACCACAGTCAATTTTAGAACATTTTTATCACCTCAAAAAGAAACTCCATACCTTTTAGCTGTCACCCTTCTATTCCCCTCCTCAGCCCATTCTAAATATTTCATTAAAATGGAATCATACGTGTTTTTTGTGACCTGCTTCTTTTACTTAGCATATTTTCAAGGTTCATCCACAGTGTAGCATGGATCAGGACTTAGCTTCTTTTTATGGCCAAATAATATTCTACCATATGGATGGACTACATTTTGTTTACATTCCTCCACTGATGGACACTTGGGTTGTTTCCACCTTTTGGCTATTATGAATCATGTCTCTATAAACATTTGTGTTCCAGGTTTTGTGTGAACACACGTTTTCATTTCTCTTTGGTAGATGTCTAGGAGTGAAATTACTGGGTCACATGCTAACTGTCTAAGTTAGGTGGCTTTCTCTCTGGGCCTTGATTTTCTCATCTATAAAATGATGGTAACAGTAGTATCTGTCTTACAAGGACTTTGTGAGGATCAAGTGAGATAGGAAGTGTGAAGTGCTCAGTACAGAGCATGGAAAACAGACCCCAGGGGTAGCTGTGGTTCTAGCCTGGTACTGCTTATTAATGAGCTGCCATTTATGTCAGTAGTCCTCTACTGACCGGCCGCATAAAATGAAGGCATCTCAGACCCTTCCCTTCTGGGTTGCCCAGGCTAAGCTATGGCCTGAGACTTCGATTTGCTCTTCCTCCATTGTGGTGTCCCAGGCTCTAATAATGGTGTGTTTGGAGACAGGGAAAGGGGGAGAGGCCGTGCATGGTAATAATGTCCCCATCCCCTTTGTCACTTGTCCCAGGCTTGCCCAAGGTCCAGCCTAGCCCCTAGACACCATGTCAGACAGTGACCTGGGTGAGGAGGAAGGCATCCTCTCCCTCGCAGGCAAGAGGAAGCGCCGAGGCAACCTGCCCAAGGAATCGGTGAAGATCCTCCGGGACTGGCTGTACGTACACCGCTACAACGCCTACCCCTCGGAGCAGGAGAAGCTGAGCCTTTCCGGACAGACCAACCTGTCGGTGCTGCAGGTAAGGAGCAGGTAGCAGGAGACCTGGCTTCTAGGCCTCTCTAAGCCCTGTCCCTGATACACCGTGTGGCCACGTGAGAATGGCCACTCTCCCTGCCTCAAGGGAAGACAACGACGTGAGGTCACTGCAGCTAGATTTGGGAGACTTCTGAAGAGGCAAGGCACCGTTATTAACGTCTTGGTGTCGTTAACCGTGGAGGCCTTGGGAAGGCGAGAAGGCATCGAGTGTTTGGAATTCAGCCCCCAGCCCCAGAGCAGTGTTGGGATAGTGACTTGGTTGCAGAAGGGCAGCTGGTGGTCTGCAGTGTAGTTAGAAAAATGAGTTGGGATCATGGCCAAGGAAAGGGCAGAATTCAGAGGTTCTGGGTTCAAAACCCAGTTCTGCAACATAGGAGCAATGGTCTACATCTTGATTTCTCCACCTGTAAAGTGGGGGGTTCGAATCCTCCCCTGCCTGACTGAATTGTTGTTAAGGAGCAGTTTCTGAACTGGATGTGAAAGTGTTTGGGGGCACCTGGCTGGCTCAGTCAGTGGAGCATGTGACTCTTGATCTTGGGGTTGTGAATTCGCATCCTATATTGGGTGTAGAGATTACTTAAAAATAAAATCTTAAAAAAAAAAGAAAAGAAAAGATGGAGTGCCTGGGTGGCTCAGTTGGTTGAGCGTCTGACTCTTCATTTAGGCTCAGGTCATGATCTCAGGATCCTGGGATCGAGCCCCACATCAGGCTCCGCGCTCAGCATGGAGTCTGCTTGTCCCTCTCCCTCCTCTGTCCCATGCCCACACTCCCACCCCCGCACTCTCTCTAAAAATAGATAAATAAAATATTTTTTTAAAAGAAAGAAAGGAAAGTGCTTTGTAAACCATGCACGTGAGCATACCTGAAGATCTCTTGTCCACTTTTTGTCAGAGCACAAGGTATTATCTCCTTTGAACTGCCCCAACTGCTGACCTATAGGTGTTTTGTTCTGTTTTCATGGTGCTAGGCAGGACACCCTAGACTACCAATGACTTGCCTCCAATTTGGCTCTCATCTACCTGGGAGACACAGAGCAGGCCCCCAGCCTAGCGAAGGCCTATCCCCTGCCCCACAAGCCCCCAGTGCTCCCTTCATGAGCCGGCTAAGCCTCTACCACAAGCCCCTCTGCTACCGGTTCCAGCTCTGTCTTTTCCTAGCCTTTAATAGATTCCTTATTTCAGTCTATGGTGCTAACTCTCCCTCATTCCCTTACCCCACTCGGAACCTCCCTTGTCTTCCCAGCTCCCATCCCTCTTCCACGTTGCCTCCACGCTGAGTATTCAGCCCTCAGAACTCCTCTCACCTGACTTTATACTTGCTGGGCAGTGGTTAATGGGAGTCTTGTCTGCGAGAAAGGCTCCAGAGTTACAGAACCTGACTCAGATCCCATCTTCTCCACAAGAAGAAGCCTGGACATTGGCCAGGTCCAGTGCCTCTCCCTGAGCCTTGTGTTTCCTCTAAAAAAAGGAGATGATTGTGGTACTTTCATAGTATGTAAGGAGGAGGGATAGAGAAGAAAGATTCAAGGCTCACGGCAAGGTGAGCACAGAGTGGGTGTTTCTGCTCTTGTCATCCTCATCTCTCCTAGATCAGAGGTCTTGGACTGACCCCGGGTGTCTAGCAGTGTCTAGCATCTCACAGTGTACCAAGCACTCCCAGCTAGAGTTGAGGTCTCAGAGAGGAACCAGACACATTCCTACCCTCAAGGTGTGTAGTCCAGGATGGGAAAGCGGAGAAGACCTAGCCATTAGTGTTTGTAAAAAGTAATCACTTGCTGGGACAGAAGGCAGCAGAGACCCAGGCAGGGTTTCCAAGCCAGCCTGGAGCCTCAACAGGCCTCCCAGAAGAGGTGGACTTGAACTCATAGGATGCAGAACAACACAAGCCAAAGGCTTAAGCCTGAGAACCGGGATCACCTAGATGGGCTCTTTGCTGGTCTTCTGCCTCCAGCCTTTTTCCCTCAAGTCCATTCTATCCTCTCGCTTTTTTTTTTTTTTTAATGGGCTTTATTAAGCAGTTCATGAATTGGACAGCATGCCATCTAACTCTGCTCCCTCAGTCCATTCTCTTGAACACAAAAGTACAAGTCTGATGGTGTTACACACTCCATGGACCCCACTGTCCTCTGCATAGAGTCCAAACTCAGGAGCTTACCAGCCTCATCTCTCAGTTCTTCCTGTCCCCGAGTCTTGTGACCCTTCGGACCTTCTCTCTGGGCTTCTTCCTGACTTTTCTGAACCTGACTCACTCCATGTAAGCATTTCCTCATGAGAGCATTCTTGGACTAGGTCTGAGGCCACTACTCTGTGTTCCTGGTGCACCTCCTACCTGTGCTGCCACACTGTATTGGAATTGCTTTTTGTCAGGGAACTGCTTCCTAGAACTGAGTGATGTGCCGGTTTCTCTTAAGTTATTTTTCATGGGCCCGCCTCCCCTCCAACATGCTGACTTGAAATATTTTTATGATCACGTCACTTAAGCACATCTAAACATAAAACTGGGTTAAAAAAACAACAACTTCTTGCTTTTGCTCTTATAAATTGTAAAATAACCAGTTTTCCAAAGTAAATGTAAAATCCATGAGATTCCATCTACCTGCATTAATATAAAATGGTGGATGGGGATGATGCTTTGCTGACTGGGCTGTACTGCGCAATATTGACACAGACACTGACTCGAGTTGAGCAAGTCTGGGTTCCCAGAGGCCACTGTGCTCCTCCTCAAGATCAGAATGGAGACATAAAGCTCAGACATTCTTCTGAGAACTAGTGGATCTCTAGGGTGATATAGCTCTGATTCCACTTAGAGAAATGTTGGTCTGGAGCAAGGATTTGTTGCTAGAGACTTCTGAGGAAGGGCCAGCTGGATCCTGGCCTGCCCTGATGGGAAGGGTTCTGGTGTTGGCCACCCTGCTCTAGAGTCATGCTGAGAGCTAACCAGCAGTGGGGACCATGTGGCCCTGGGTGGAAACTATACCATGAATCCCACATGGCCTCCCAACCGTCTACCTCTGCTTGGAGGTCTCACAGGCACCTCAGGTTTCTCAGTTGGTAATGGATGACTTCTCCAAGCTGGCTCCTTCCCTTTCGAAGGGGTGCCCCTTGATTGCCCTTTCTCAGTTCATTTGATCAGTCACCAATTCCTATGCATTCACCCCTTAAATATTTCTGGAATGTGGCTTTCCTACCCTGGTCCAGCCTATCATTGTCTTACCACTTGTTACTCCACGATTAAAAACCCTTCAGTGATTCCTGCCAACCTAATGACAATATCACGTGTCCCTATCTGCATACTGGGCCTCATCCCTGCCCCGTCCCCCATACTCATGCCACACTAATCAGTACCCCAGACCACTTCGTTCGCACTCCTGACCAGGGAGACCCTCCACCCTCAGAGGAACTGTGCGCTCTCACAGTACCAGGTCTGGGTCAGCATTTGGACAATGGACTGTAGCTGCTTTTTAGAACACACTAAACTCCAGAAGCCGAGGCTTACTTATCACTATATGCCAAGTGTTTAGCTCAATGCCTGGTATCTGGTAGGTGCTCGGTAAATAATTGTTGAATTGATATAAAATGAGGAAGTGTGGGAAATGTCAACAGGCAGGACCTCTAAAGAAATGCGGTAGCTCCTCAGTCTGGAAAAATTGGCCTAAGTCCCTGGAGGCAGCTTTCTTTCCTGTAATTTTTAAAATTTCACTGTTTATTAAGAACTTTGCAAATATCCACAAAAGAGAATATTATAATGCACTCCTGGAACCAATCACCTGGCTTCATCATGCATCAGCATTTTGCCAAGCTTGTTTTCTCTCTCCCTGGGGACAGCTCTTTTGATTGTCTCCTTTAACTGGCCCAAGAGCAATCTCATTAGCAAGTCAATGAGTCATTTAACTAACTGGTTTGCTGGTACTCGCCTGGGGCTAGGCAGTCAGGAGGGTAAGACCAAAAAAAGTCATTTGTGAAGGGTTTTCACGGGTCCCTGTGACACCCTTTGAGCCCACTTTATTGCTGTGGTTTTTAACTGTTCTCAAGGGCTGGCTGCCTGTTGGGGAGGGAAGGTAAGCGTGGCAGGGAGGGTTCGGGCCCCATTCTTTCACTCTCATACTGATTGGGGGTATGCGCGGTGCCAGGCCCAGAGCTATGTGCTGGAAACACAGCGGTAGAGCAGGCACTATCTCTGCCTTCTGGGTAGCGTCCTGTAGGGAGGGAAGACAATGTTTAATGGACTAAGAATTCAATGTAGTTAATTACCAATGTGGTGTCACCTGAGCTCCCCATTCCTTCAAGTCCTTTAGGGCTCCATTCAGATGCAGTTACCTGAGAGAAGACTCTCCCAAAGCGGGACGGGGGTGGGGGTGAGCGGGTTAAACCATTGGTTCCTAAGTCTGAGCAGCAGAACTCTTGAGCTTGTTTAAAAACACACATTCCTGACTCCACCCCACTCCCACTGGATCTATAGAGCAGATGGGAGAGTTTTTTGGGGTTTTTTTTTTTTAAGATTTTTTATTTGTACGCAATCACACCCAACACCGGGCTCGAACCCACAACCCTGAGATCAAGAGTTGCACGCTCCACTGACTGAGCCAGCCAAGCACCCCCAAGAGATAACTATTTTTTTAAGTCACCGTCAAGGTGATTCTAATACAGCCAGTTGCTTTTGAGAGCACCTGGGTATGGGTGGTCACAACACAAGTGGAGGTCCAGTGATGTTTGGGAAAGGTCTTTCCGTGCCTTCACTTCGCTCCCTTCTTTCGCTTCTGTCTTTCACAGCTGAAAAGACATTAAAATTAAAGCACGTGTGGGTCAGCCTTCTTCAAAGGCCCTGCTCTGATCCTCCTGGCCTTCATCAGCTTCCTGGTGCCCCTCCCATGCCCGTTTGCCACAGCAATTCCTCCCACATTCTTCATCTCAGCCACTGATAAAAAGTACTGGCCGGACAGCAACCGCTCACATAGGGCCATTTTGGGGTAGAGACAGGCTTTCAGGCACCCAGCCTGTGTTGTGCCGTATCAGTCACAGAATTCACCTTGGCATTCTCCCCACCACCTCCCCAAGGACCTTGAGTGGGGGCAGATCACGTGCCCTTTTCCTGACTCGGACATGGGGCGGCGGGCAGCTGAAGGGGCTACAGAAATTCCTGACCGCCTGATACCACAGCTGGCCCTAGTGGCGCACGCAGGCCTCCCGCCCTTGCCTGGCCCCCCTCAGCTGTGCATTTCTAGCGGACGAGAAGACAAAACAGACAGTAGGCTGCCAGATATTCTGTGGACCAGGGTGAGCATGTGGGAGAATATATGTGTTTGGGGGGTGGGGTGCTTTTCTACCCTGCTCTTCCCAGAATTCTAAGCCAAGATGGGAGGCGCAGCTAGGGGCTAGGTGCCCACACAGCTGCTAATAAATGCCTAGGCTCCCCTCCCCAAGCCTGCTTTCTCAACAGAAATTCTCATCCCTACTTCACTCGAACCAGGTCACTGTGACCTGTTTTCCCTGCGCACAGAGCTAAGGTGAGCAGGCGCAGTGTTCCCCGGTAGCACAGGTAGCTGGTGAGGCAGCTGCAGGATGCAGGAGTGGAAGCATCCGAGCGAGCAGAAAAGGCTTCAGTCTTTTCTCTTCACCTGGCAGTGGGGGTTGCCTGGGACAGAGCCCAGCCTTTGAACTGGTGACCTTGAGCAAGTCTCTGATCAGGGCCTCTGTTTCATCACCGGTTCAAATAAAGTGATCATCACAGTACCTGTCTCATAAGTTGTTGAAGATTAAATGAGTAATTAGATGGGAAGTGTTCAGAACAGCACTTGGTATGTTTTGTGTTCAACAAGGATTCACTTTTAGGATTATGGTCATGATTATTCGGTTGTCAGTTCCACCTGTTTGCTAAGACATAGCAAAGCACAGAACAGCAGTTAGGGGCCCTCAAGCCAGAAGACCTGGGTTTGGATCCCAGCTCTACACTCAGAGCCTGTGTGACTTTGGGAACGTTCTTTCATCCTTTAAGAGTTCAGTTCCCTCCTTAGTACTTTGGGGACACTGCTCACAACCTTTCAGGCTTGTATACAGATGAAACAAAATGCAAGTGAGGTGGCTGGCATAGTACTTAGTATCAGAGGTGTTGAGTCCCTTTCCTTTGCCTCACCCAGCTGTTCAGCCCTACCTCTCTCTGGGACTCCCCTGCAACCTTAGCCAGTATTCAGCTCAGCCAGTGTCTGCTGATGCCTGCTGGTGTGTGTGTGTGTGGTTGTACTGGAAAGACCCTAGGGATGAAGAGGAATAAACGAGAACCCCTGGAATGGAGAGGAAGAGAAGCCACAAGAAGGCTCTGGCTCTGCCCTGAAGAGGAGCTTTCACAGCCTGCTGAGCTAGGAGCCAGGACAACTCCAGGCACCAGCTCCTGCCATAGGTAGCTGTCCCTTTGGCTAGATAGAGACAGACTCCATAGAAAGATGGCACCCAAGGGCTTGCCCTGGGAATGGGCCAAGAGAGGTGATAAGCAGGGGTAGAAACTGGTACAGGAGCCCTAAGGAGAGCTGGGCCTTGATCCATTCAGCAAACAGTGGAGGAACATTAGGCATTACTGCAGCCCACACAGTTCCCGATATCCCATCACATAGGAGGTGAGGGGGAGAGGGCTGCTGTCTTTGCCCTCTGCAGCAGCTGGTGCATGCTCTGTAAGTATCTGTTGGTAAACAGGGAGAAGAGAGAGGGACAGGAGACGGACCTACAGTGTGCAAGGTATGAAGGTCCAACAAACCACTGTTTAGGCCCTTTAGTGGTTTGCCGTGGTGTTCTGGCCTAGTGGGATCAGGCCTGCCTGCTGTCAGTTCTACCCTGAGTCCACAAAGACTAGATTGGGTCTTCCCATTATTGTCCCCACCACTGGTTGTAATTTTATACTCATTTGTAGGATTTAACTCTCTCTTCCCAACATGAACTTGTCTGAAGGGTGGGATCATGTCTGTGTTGTTTACTGCTGTGTTTCTGGGGCCAGGAACATAGGTGCTTCATAGCTGGTTTTGACTGAGTGAACTGATCACGGCCTCTTCTGTGCATTCCAGATATGTAACTGGTTCATCAACGCCCGGCGGCGCCTTCTCCCAGACATGCTTCGGAAGGATGGCAAAGACCCCAATCAGTTCACCATCTCCCGCCGCGGGGGTAAGGCCTCAGATGTGGCCCTCCCCCGAGGCAGCAGCCCCTCGGTGCTGGCTGTGTCTGTACCAGCCCCCACCAGCGTGCTCTCCTTGTCTGTGTGCTCCATGCCACTCCACTCAGGCCAGGGGGAAAAGCCAGCGGCCCCCTTCCCACAAGGGGAGCCAGAGCCTCCGAAGCCCTTGGTGACCCCTGGCAACACACTCACCCTCCTGACCAGAGCTGAAGCTGGAAGCCCCACAGGTGGACTCTTCAACACGCCACCGCCCACACCCCCAGAGCAGGACAAGGAAGACTTCAGTAGCTTCCAGCTGCTGGTGGAGGTGGCGCTACAGAGGGCTGCTGAGATGGAGCTTCAGAAGCAGCAGGACCCATCGCCCCCCTTACTGCACACTCCTATCCCCTTAGTCTCCGAAAACCCCAAGTAGGCATCTGCCAAGAAGGGTGCTCGAGGCTCGAGCCAGCTGTCCGGGGTCTCTGTTTTGGTTCCTTTTCATACAGAGGGCTTTCTTTGGATCACTGCCAAACATCGGGGTCATCTCCTCTGTCCAGAGGTCTTCAGCAGGAAGATGCCAGCTGGTATCGCTGCACTGTGACGGGGACCTCTCTGCTAACTGCCGTTTCTCCAGGCCTCCTCAGTGATGAGATTGAGATCGGAGATAGGCATGGTGCTGCTGCTGCTTCTCCAGAGGATTCCGAGGACACCTTTCTTCCAGCCTGCTTTCCTAGGCTGGGCACAGGAAACCTGCCACTTTCAGACCTATGCCCCACAGCTGGGCCTCTTTTTGTTAAGCCAAGTGTGGACAGTCCCAAGTTCGTAAGTGTGAACAAAAGACAAGAGGAACCCAGCAGATGTAACAGAACTGACTCCAGTTGAATGTTTAGGTTTTCACTAAACTGTTTATTTTTCCCTTTTTGCTGGGGTTTGCATTAATGGGAGTAGTTAGCCCAGGTGTGGGGAGTGAGAGTGTGTTGCGTGAGGGAATCTGATGAACTGGGAATTCTGCACCACTGCAATTGGTGAGTGTTTTACAAGGAAGGAGTATTTTTATTTGGGGGACCATCTAAATCTCTGCAAAATTCCAAATGGTGGTTTTATTCTTGGTTTGATTTACAAAAAAAAAAAAAACCTTTTTGGGCTTTGGCTTTTCTGCATCAGGCACAGAAGGGAACAAAGCCTTCTTAAGAATAGAAAGGGTCCAACACAGAATCTGACCAAACCTTCTAAGCGCAGAGCAGAGAAGGATAAAACCAGAGAGGTGGTTTTTGGTTTGGTTTGTTCGTTTTTTTTGTTTTGTTTTTTTAATTTTTGTTTTTACTATGTTTTGGGGGACAGGGGAAGTTAAGTTAGACCAAGGAAGTGGGTTTTTGGGTTTTGGTGTTTTTTTTTTTTCCTCTCTTTAATGTTTTCCCCTCTTTATCTTTGAAAGCTTGGCCCTGCAGCCTGAGTTTTGAATTCCTTTAAGAACTTGGATTAGTGGGATCAGAATGTCAAAAGCTGCCAGTAGCTCCTACTTGGAGAGAAGTGAGCCACCTACTGGTCAGGAAGCCCTTGTAGCTGACTCAAATGGGCAGTTTTTCCCACGATGGTGGCAAGAACCTATTCCTGGAAGAAGCAGGGAATGTGCCCCCGGCTGCTGAGGAGCTGCCTTCTACGGAGGCTGGGGCTGGAAATCGGTTAGGAAGCCTGTTCGCTGTGTCTTTGTGTTGCACCTTTCTCTAAATTGGAGTTGCAGAGGCCTCTGCCCTGAACTTCACAGTGAAATAGATCACAGTTGGTCTTACTCTTCTCCCTCCTCCCCATTTTTTATTTTGCTGTCTCATTGCTGACAGCATTCGACAGCAATACACCCCATCTTTATATATCCTAAGAAACACTAATCCTAGGTTACTATTAGCCAAAATATTTTTGTTCTGAAAGCATTGTTACTGGGCCAAAAGACAGGTCAGGAGCCCCCTGCCTGTAGTTTCCTGAAGTTGCCAAGTAAGGCACAAGGGGGAGATTCCTGGCACAAGGGGGAGATTCCTGGAGGTTGACTGACATGGGTGGGCCTGGCCGGGAGAAAGGCAGCAATGTGTGTTCTGTCCTTTCTGGGATGATCCCTGAAGACTTCAGGGAGGCTACCTGACTTCTCAGTGGCTTGGCCTACCCACTGTTGTGGGAATAGGGATTAGCTTTTTAAGGAATGGGAGCTTTGCTCTCTGTGAGTGGGCAAGTTTCCTAGGCTCTCTCTTTTGCCACCCCGCCCATCCTTGCATGTCCCAGGGGGATCAGGGATCCTCACCCTCCTGAGGCCCAGCTGGGGAAGAAAGAACATAGCAGCTTCAAGATTAGTTGAAGTTGCTGTTTGCCCAGCCTGTTCCACCCCACCCATGTCTGTGAGCCCAGGTCTGGTATGACTGTTGGAAGAGGTGGTGAGGGGTGAGGAGCCATGCTGCTGAATTCTGGTTGGCATTCCCCCTCTTGTGCAAGATGGGGAGGCTGGGGGTGGTGCAGCCTCCACTTGGTTTGGTTGGGAGATAAACCTGGAGGAGAAGCACAGTTATCCCGTTGAATTATTTGAGCAAAAAAACTACTGTAAATAACTTTTGTTTTTGTCTTTCGTCAAATAAAGTTGTTTTTGGTTTTTGTTTTGTTTTGTTTTTTAAAGCAGAAACAGACTGACCCACAGTGACCCTGGGCCCCATCTGGAGGTGGGGCAGTTGCTGAGTTCTTACAGGGCTTTATCGTTTCCCCCCTCTAGCAGCCACCTGTCAGGGTTGGGTGTCCTGCATCCTTATTTCTTGTTCTCAAACCTGGCCCATATCCCTTTCATCACAGTGGGCAGGGGCCATATGCCTCCCATGCTACACCAGTCTTCCCTGGGATAAACAGTCAAGCTTTGGGGTTGCTGAGTGGTGAGGAAACTTAGGGAGCTAGCAACTTTATCCTCCCCCTCAACCAGTGAGGGGTTGAACTGCAGTATGAAGCCAGCACAGAAAGCAGCAGACATGAAATGGATGCTTCAGTCATGTCTGAAACTGGTACCACCTCTAGACTTCCCTATTATGTAAGCTAGTAAATTTCCCTTTTTTGCTTAAGATAGCTGTGAGTTTCATTTACTTCTTTACTTCATAATGAAATGACTGTACATTTCATTGCAGCCCAAACAGTGCTAAGTCAAGGCCTGCAGCAGTACACAGCCTTGCTATGTGCCTGGACCTGTGCAGTGTTCATTATTAAATTTTGTATACACACAAAAGAAGTGAGGTGCCCTTCTCATAGGTAAAGAAATTGAGCTTTTGTTAAATTAATTGGCCTGCACTGTACAGCCAGTATTAAATGGAGCTAAGATATGAACTGAAGTCTGTCTTGCTTGAAGGTCACCCTGACATCTGCCTGCACCTTATCTGAACTAGTGATGGGCAGGTGGTTCACTGCCTACTGGCATTCAATTAACATGGTTTGGGCTAAACAGTAGAAATTTCTTCTACTGAACCAAATCGGCTTCTTCCTGATTCCAGTAGACCTAGATGGAGGATATCCAATCTCCCACAAGTCATTCTCCTGTAGAAATTGGGAGTCAGTGCCTCCCCATTCACGTTCCCCAGATTAAAGAGCTCCGGTTTGAGAGAGTTTAGCCATTCATCCAAAGTCCTGGTTTCCATTTCCCTCTATCAGTAGCCCTCAAACTGGACACTTGGCCCTGGGGCTTGGCAGAATAGGAATATGCTGGAAGGGCTCTTCAAAATAAGTTCAATACTCATTTTCATCTGGAAAATGAATATTAATATTACCCTAAAAGGGGAAGTGATTTGGATGGTTTGACTGCCTTAGAAGAGATGGCTTCCTACAAATACTTTTCAAAGAACTGAAACCAAAAGCATCTTCTGCATCAAGCTTCAAATAGATGAACCCCAGAATAAGCAAGCACTTTAGATAATAAAAGTTGACAGGGATAATGTGGCTAGAGCCCCTCTCCTCTGAAGCTAGAATGTTACCTAAGGACATCTAACTTTAACAGTCCCCGTTCAGGAAACAGCATTTAAATGCATTGGCTGGCTCAGAGCATGTGACTCTTGATCTTGGGGTCGTGAGTTTGAGCCCCATGTGGGGTGTAGAGATGACTTTAAAAAAAATAAAATCTTAAAAAAAAAAAACCCTCTAGGGTTGGACTTGACTCTGGATTTAAAAAGTACACTCTAAGGGTGCCTGGCTGGCTCAGTCAGTGGAGCATGCAACTCTTGATCTCAGGGTCATGAGCTCTAGCCCCATGTTGCGGGTAGAGATTACTAAAAAAAATAATAACAATTTAAAAAAGAAATAAAAGCTACACTCTAGTTTAGAAACTGCTAATGGGAAAAACTCCCAGAGGGGAGGGTCTTAGCCTGTCTTGGTGTGTTGTAACCTTGGTGTGTTAGCCGCTGTAGCTGTAGAGAAGAAGGGAACTCGGGGGGTGGGGGGGAATGTGGAAATAACAATTATCAATGCTCTCAATGTTACTGGTTTCCAAAGTACTTTATAATCTAAGCCTGCATTTAGATTCTGGCTCTGTCATCTAATTAGGTGTCATGATCATAGGCAAGTCAATTTACCACTCCAAACTTTTTTTTTTTTTAAAGATTTTATTTATTTGACAGAGATAGATACAGCGATAGAGGGAACACAAGCAGGGGGAATATGAGGGGGGGAAGCAGGCTTCCCGCTGAGCAGGAAGCCCGATGCGGGGCTCCATCCCAGGACCCTGGGATCATGACCTGAGCCGAAGGCAGACACTTAATGACTGAGCCACCCAGGTGCCCCTACCACTCCAAACTTTAGTCTCCTCATCAATAAAATGGGCATAGGAATATTCACCTCTTAGGAAGATGAAATAGGATACTCCACGTTACTGTTATTATATATTGCTATCATCTGGCCTCTCAGCACAGGGCTGGGAGTAAAACAGAACTGTGAAAATAACTTGCCCCATACCACACAGCTGTTAAGTGGCAGAACTGGAAGGAATTACCCAGAGAAGTAGTTCTCAAGCCTTAATATGTATCAAAGTCATCAGGAGAGCTTACAAAAATGCAAATTCCCAGCCTCACCCCCAGGGAGTACAGGAATCTACACTCTTCACTTATGCCACAGGAGATTCTCATGCTATTGCTCCAGGGACCTGATCATTTATGATCAGGACACTGACTTATCCCAAGGAAGCTGCTAAATTAAGACAGCACCTTACCTTTCAAAGTTTTAAGATAAGAGGAAGAAGGGTACCACCAAGTAGTTTACCCCTCCCCCTGCCAAACCATTTGACTTCCCCCTCAGCTCCTAGGAGTCTATTGTGGCCTGAAGGTCAAGGGTAACCTTCCTGAGATGGTCATTTTAATTACATAAATAATCCACATTTACTATAGAAAATTTTAAAATAAAGGTAAAAGAGAGGAGTTCAGTATAGTGGTTAAGAGCCCAGCCAACTTTTGGAGGAAAACATGTAAAACATTCAGCAAAGTTGGCACCTAGTAAGAACCCACTAAGTACTAGTAAAACATTTATCTTAGGTAAAAAGAGGGCCTGGATACAAACTCAGACCTCTACTTCACAACGGGTGCTCTTTCCACAGCTTGTGGTTTTTTTCCCCACAGGACTCTGATTTCTGTGACTCCCATCTGTGTCTGTCCAGGGCCCCCAGTCTTACCCCTCAGAGCACACTTTCCTCTCCGAGCCCTCCTACAAGCAGCTGGCAGTGGCACAGAGGCCTTCAGTGGAGAGGACATACTCGGTCCCAAGGCTGAGATGGTGTGTTTAACTGGTGCTTAAAAGGTCCCAACCTCACAAAGGCAAAATCTGTCCTACTTCCAAATCTCTCTCCCACTTCCAAATCTGACTCTTCATCAAGTTCTTTTCCATCTTAGACCACCCAGGATGTTTATTTTAACCAGATGGATGCACTGGGATTCAGCCAGACTCCCTACTTCCTAAGATAAGGAAAGCCTTGGGTGAAAGCACAAAGGGATTAAGTCTCAGCCCCATAAATACCCTCCAGGCAAGGGTTCTCCATGCTAACTCCCAGCTTGGCTTTGTCTGCTCCTAGAAAACTAAGAGGAGGAACACAGATCAGGTTTCAGATGCCTATTGAACCTCTAACTTGCTGTGTGACACTGAGCTGGACTGGATCTAAGGACCCCTCTAAATATAACGTTCTGTAACACCCTCCCCCCCCATGTAATCAAAACTTAATGAATCTCAGAGTTAAGAGCTTCACAACATAATACTACATATAAAACTCTTCTTGCAAAAAATAAAATTATCTGTTTACAGATATGATCATATATGTAAAATCCTAAAGACTCCACCAAAAGGAAACAGAAAATAATAAATGGATTCAGCAAAGTTGCATGATACAAAATCACAAAAAATCAGTTGTGTTTCTACACACGAACAATGAACAATCCAAAAAGGAAATTTAAAAAATTTTTTAAATTATAATAGCATCAAAAAGAATAAAATAGTTAAGAATTAACCAAAGAAGTGAGACTTATGCACTGAAAACTAGAAAACATTGCTGAATGAAATTAAGGAAGATAAAAATAAATGGAAAAATATCTTGTGTTCATGGATTGGAAGACTTACCTACAGATTTTCACTGCAATCTCTATCAAAACCCCACTGATTTTTCTTTTTTTTTTTAAGATTTTATTTATTTATTTGAGACAGAGAGAATGAGAGAGATAGAGCACATGAGAGGGGGGAGGGTCAGAGGGAGAAGCAGGCTCCCTGCCGAGCAGGGAGCCCGATGCGGGACTCGATCCAGGGACTCCAGGATCATGACCTGAGCCGAAAGCAGTCGCTTAACCAACTGAGCCACCCAGGCGCCCTGATTTTTCTTTTTTAAATAGACTCCATGCCCAACTTGGAGCTTGAACTCACGACCCCAAGATCAAGAGTTGCATGCATGTTCTACCAAATGAACCAGCCAGGTGCCCCTCTAATGACTTTTTTTTTTTTTGCAGAAATGGAACAACTCATTCTAAAATGTATATGGAGGGGCGCCTGGGTGGCTCAGTCATTAAGCGCCTGCCTTCGGCTCCGGTCATGATCCCAGGGTCCTGGGATTGAGCCCCACATCGGGCTCCCTGCTCCACAGGAAGCCTGCTTCTCCCTCTCCCACTCCCCCTGCTTGTGTTCCCTCTCTTACTGTGTCTCTCTCTGTCAAATAAATTAAAAAATCTTTAAAAAAAATAAAAATAAAAATAAAATGTATATGGAATCTTAAGGAACCCCCAATAACCAAAACAATCTTGAAAAAGAACAAAGTTTGAAGACTCACACCTCCTGATTTCAAAACTTACTACAAAGCTAAAGTAATCAAAAAGTGTGGTATTGGCACAACGACAGAAATAAATAGACCAAAGGAATAGGATTTGACAGGCTTGCAGTATACCCTTACATATGTGGTCAAATGATCTTCAACAAAGGTGCTAAGACCATTTGATGCAGGAAGGACAGTCTTTTTAATAAATGGTGTTGGGAAAACTGGATATCCACATGTAAATGAATGAAGTTGGGCCCTTACCTAACACCACATAAAAAAATTAACTCAGTGGGGCACCTGTCTGGCTCAGTCAGTGGAGCATGTGACTCTTTTTTTTTTTTTTTTTT